TTTTTACAGAGAGGAAGGGAGAGGGATAGAGAGTCAGAAACATCGATGAGAGAGAAACATCAACCAGCTGCCTCCGGCACACCCCCCACTGGGGATGCGCCCGCAACCAAGGCACACGCCCTCGACCGGAATCGAACCTGGGACCTTTCAGTCCACAGGCCGACGCTCTATCCATTGAGCCAAACCGGTTACGGCGCCCACAATCGATTTTAGAACATGGTCGTCCCTGCAGGAGGAAATCCCTTAGCTCTCCCCCCTCCAAGGCAGCCACTGAGGTGCCTCCGGTCTGATTTGCCTGATCCGGACAGTTTCCTGTCAACGGGACCCTTCGTTATGTGGTCTCTTGTGTCTGGCTTCTCTCACGCAGCGTAAGGCTCTCCAGGCTCGTCCCTGAGGTCGCATCCCTCACGCACGCCTTCCTTTTTGTGGCCGAGTCATGTCCTGCTGCCTGGACAGACCAGACCGCCTTTGGCTTATCCATCATCAGAGGACGGGCATTCGCATTGCTCCCGTGTTTGGCTTCTTAGATCTGTGTTTACCTCTCGGGGATCTGCCAGGCTGTTTTCTAACGTGACCGCACCGTCCCCCCCAGCAGACTCCCAGAGTTCCGAGTTCTCCATGTCCACGCTGACGCTTGTCACTGTCCTGAAGCCGTTCGCTCCTCTCCGCCTCCACGGCCCCTCGCTGGCCTGAGCGGCCACCATCTCTGACCTGGACACTGACATTGCCCCATCCCTGGGCGCAGGCTTTGACCCTCAGTCTTTCCCTGCACCACAGACAGAGGGCGCTGTTGGCACCCAGGGAAGATCCCGTCCCTTCCCAGCTGGGAATTCCTGGGTAGCTCCTCACGGGCTGAGAATAAACCCAGACTTCTCCCCACGTGGCCGACTGAGCCGGCCCCTGCTCCACTCCCCGACATTACTCATGCCCCCGTCTCCCTGCCCCTTCAAACCCAGCCACACGAGCTGCCCAGCCTCAGAGCCACCCGCAGTGCTGTTCCCTCTGCCTCGGTGCTCTTTGCCCTGCTCTCCCACCTATTCCCCCCCCAGTTCTGGGCTTAACACTCAGCTTCCTAGAAAAACCTCTGATTTCACCTCCAGTCTGAAATCACACCCCTATCCTCTGCCTCAGGGCGTTCAGCACCGCTTCAAGTTGCACGTCTGTTTGTGGAAACCCCCACCCCAGGCCGGGCTCCAGGAGGGAAGGTGAGCGGCCGAGCCCGGCCTGCGACAAGAACAAACTAAGTCTATGTGTTCATGTCACCCCTTCGACGGCACCTCTTACCTTCTTCCTCTTTGCAGGTGCTGTTCCCTCTGACCACACACATTCCTTCCCTTTTTCTCTGGCTGGTTCACCCTGGGCCTCCGTTACCTGTCACTTTCTCTCAGGCAGTATTTCCGCTGAACTCCGTTCTCCCTTGTTTCATAGGCACAAGCAGCAGTTCTCAAATCCTCACACTCTCAAAATTAAGAACCCGGAAGGGCTATTGTTTTTTTAAAAATATATATATATATATTTTTATTGATGTCAGAGAGGAAGGGAGAGGAAGAGAGAGGTAGAAACATCAATGATGAGAGAATCACTGATCGGCTGCCTCCTGCCCACCCATCACTGAGGATCGAGCCCGCAACCTGGGCGTGTGCCCCTGACCAGAATTGAACCTGGGACCTCTCGGTCCACAGGCTGACGCTCTATCCACTGAGCTAAACCGGCTAGGGCGGAAAGGGCTATTGTTTCTCTGAGCTATATCTAGCAGCATGTTAGAAATGAAAACGGATGCATTTTAAATATACTTGTTTATTAATGCATTTAAACTAACAATAATAATCAAAGAATGTGTGCACGCCTATGTTCACAGCAGCACAATTTACGATCGCGAAGAGCTGGAAACGGCCCAAGTGCCCATCAGCAGAGGAGTGGACAAAAAGGCTGTGGTACATCTACACCATGGAATACTATGCAACAGTACAAAAGGAGGCTCTCTTACCCTCCGAGACAGCATGCGGGCACCTGGAGAGTGTTACGCTAAGCGAAATAAGCCAGTCAGAGAAAGACAAGTATCACATGATCTCACTCATATGTGGAATCTAATGAACAAAATAGATCCAGAGACATAGACGCACAGAACAGACTGCGGAATCTCAGAGGGAAGGCGGGGGAGGGTGGGTGGGTGGAAGAACTTGTATGCATATATGCATAACCCATGGACACAGACAATAGGGGCGGGGAGGGGGCTGGGGCGGGCTAGAAGGGGTTAATGGGGGAACAGGAGGACATGTAATACTTTCAACAATAAGGATTTAATTAAAATTTTAAAAGATAAGAATAATAAGCTGATTGCAGTTAACATTTAAAACAATCTTAATAAAAATGATTTTTCCAGGCCAAACATTGAGTGAGAAGGGTGGCGTTTTTAAAAGCCATTTTGCAAATCTCTTGACTGTCTGGCTTGATAGAAGACAGCTGGATCCCTTGTAGCTGCTTCTGTGTTAGTCACCATGCTGCATGCTGTGTAGCTTCTGGAAAATTCCAGTGCACACTCATGACAGAATGAGAATGAAAAAGACAGGTAACGTCTCGGTGTTAGTATGAAAATAATTCTGCCCGGCTGGTGTGGCTCAGCGGTTGAGTGTCGACCTATGAACCAGGAGGTCACGGTTCGATTCCCAGTCAGGGCACAAGCTCAGGTTGCGGGCTCGATCCCCAGTGTGGGGGCGTGCCGGAGGCAGCCGATCAATGATTCTCTCGTCATTGATATTTCTATCTTTCTCTCCCTCTCCTTTCCTCTCTGAAATCAATAAAAATATATATTAAAAGAAAAACAGCCCTAACCGGTTTGGCTCAGTGGATAGAGCGTCGGCCTGCGGACTGAAGGGTCCCAGGTTCGATTCCCGTCAAGGGCATGTACCTGGGTTGCGGGCACATCCCCAGTAGGGGGCGTGCAGGGGGCAGCTGATCCATGTTTCTCTCTCATCGATGTTTCTGACTCTCAATCCCTCTCCCTTCTTCTCTGTAAAAAATCAATAAAATATATTTTAAAAAAGAAAAAGAAAAACAAAAGAAGAAAACAATTCTGACCTTTCAAATAATCTGACATCGTCTTGGATACCCCTAGGGCCTAGGGGACCCTGAACCACACTTTGAAAACCTGCTGACCGACAGTTCCACTGTTGTTGTCTTTTAATTTTTAAAATATATTTTATTGATTTTTTACAGAGAGGAAGGGAGAAGTTAGAAACATCAGTGAGAGAGAATCATGGATCAGCTGCCTCCTGCACACCCCCCCACCGGGGATGTGCCCGCAACCAAGGTACATGCCCTTGACCGGAATCGAACCTGGGACCCTTCAGTCTGCAGGCGGACGCTCTATCCGCTGAGCCAAACCGTTAGGGCAAAGCGTCCTATATTTTTTAAAAAATAATAATAAAAGTTCCCATACATGGACTTCTCCCCTGCAGCGAATTTGCTCTCGTTTGTTCTAGTTTATTATTCCAAAAATATGGTCGCAACCCACAAGCTTGAGGTCGCACCTCAGCAACGCGCACTGCTCACAGTTTGAAAATCTCCAGTGGACCTTCTGGGAGCCCCTGTGACACCCCCACCCCAGGGGGGGCAGGGGGCTGGTTTGACTGTTCCCCGCGGCACCCCAGCTTCTGGCACAGGGCCTGGCTAAGCACGCAGTAGGCGTTTAATAACTGTTTGTTGAGTGAATAATGAACACATAGCGAGCCAGGGACAGAGTTAGGCCGGTAACCCCGCCGGTGCCGCGCCCTGGGACTCACGAATCCTGCCCACACCGCTTTCAAAGGCCGCGGCAGCGGGCTCCGGCGCCTCTTACCCTCATCCAGCCGCTTCCGCCTCCCCGGGAAATGCTTCACCCGCGTCTCCCTTTTGCATGAACCAAAACTACACTTCCCGGCCCCATTTGGCTCAGTGGATAGAGCGTCGACCTGCGGACTAAAGGGTCTCAGGTTCAATTCCGATCAAGGGCACAGGTACCGGGTTGTGGGCTTGATCCCCAGTGGGGGGCGTGCAGGAAACAGCCAATCAATGATTGCCTCTTATCATTGATGTTTCTCTCTCTCGCTCTCCCTTCCTCTCTGACATTTAAAAAAAAAATATATATATATATATATATGAAATGATAGACTTCGGCCCAATTTTACCGAAGCCTTTCATTTCTTTTTTTTTAAAATATATTTTATTGATTTTTTACAGCGAGGAAGTTAGAGGGATAGTTAGAAACATCGATCTGCCGCCTCCTGCACACCCCCCACTGGGAATGAGCCCGCAACCAAGGTACATCTCCTTGACCAGAATCGAACTGGGGGCCCTTCGGTCCGCAGGCTGACGCTCTAACCACTGAGCAAACAGCGAGGGCAAAAATATATTTTAAAAAAACTACATTTCCCACAAGAGCCAGGGCTGGGACTACACTTCCCATAAGCCCCTGCTTCCGCCAGGTTCTTTGCCCTTCAGCCAAGGGGTCAGATCATTGCACATTTGCTACCCCAACCCCCTGATTCCGTTCTCTCTGCGCGCGTAATGGCCAGTCCCCTCCCCTCTCCCCCCCCCCCCCCCCGTCCTCCTCGAGCACTGAACCGGCCTCAGTTTCTCCAATGAGACCCCGCAGCCCCCGCCCCTCCCATGGGGTCCCTAACGAGGAGGGCTGCGCACTGCGGGGTTGGGGAGCCGCCAGTCCCGGTGCGTGGACCGGCCAGGGCTGCGCGTCCTGCACCCGCGCGGGGAGGCGGCGGGTCGCGCCGGAGCGGGGGAGGGGGGCGTCTGAGCCGCCTCCGCGGCGTGTTGTGCGGCTGCGTCGGGGCAGCGCGGCGCCGGGCGGGCGGGCGGGAGGGACGCGTCCCAGGTGCCCACCGGCCACCGAGACGGCCGCGCGCAGCGTGGGAGTCCGCGCTGGCGGTGTGTCTGCGGCTCGGGGCGCCGTGTGACCCCGAGACGGCGGCGGCCTGGCACGTGATGTGTGCGCCCTTGTCTGTGTTGCGTGCGTGCCCGACGGGCCGAGTTCCAGTCCCCGTGCTGCCCCTTCCTGACTGTGCGCCGGGGGTGCAGGGGACTGTGCCGGGCCGGGCCTCAGTTTCCCCCTCTGTGCGATGGGCGCGGTAACGGTACCACGTGTCTCAGAGGGCGGCCGTGAGGAATAAAAGGTAAACACTGTGCAAAGCGCAGAGAACAATGCCCGGCGCAGGGGAAAGGCTCCAAAGAATAAACATATAAAATAAACTGTGATTATGTATCTTTTGTGCGAGGGGAGTGCCCGTGGCCGTGTTGGCTGTGTCCTCTCCCCTGTGTGTGTCTTTTGTGGTTTGCACCTTGGCTGTGTTGTATGTGCCCCAGTGTGATGTGTGGCCGTGGAGGGGTAGTGTGGCTTTTGTAACCTGGTATGAAATGGTCTGAAATGTGTGTGTGTATTTGTGAAGTGTCCGCCTGTGTGCGTCTCTGTACTCGATGTTTGTGCCTGTGCTGTGTTTCCGTATGTACATGTGTGTGTTACATGTGGTCACAGCCGTGTGTGATATATATTTGTGTATTTTTGTACGTGGTTTGTATGGCTTTGTATGCCTGCGACTCTTTGAATGTGTTGTGTGTGTTTTACCATGTATGAGTTGTGCCTGTTTTCAGTGTTTGTATGTCTGTGTGTTTGGGGTGAGTGGAAATTGGGTCTCTGTGAGAGTTGTGTATCTTTCATGTACTCGTGTCTATATCTGTCTGTGTGTTGTGTGTGTGTTCGTGAGTGTGATTTGCTTATCTCTCCGTGTATCTGCTGTGTATCCGTGCAGAGCTGGGCATGTGCTGTGGGTCTGTGTTAGTGCGTGTCATGTGTTTACATGTCTCCGAAAGTGATGCCTGTGCGTCTCTGCGTGTGTGATGCGGTGCCTGTGAGTGTTCTTTGTTGCCCGTTCGCCTGTGGAGCGCGCGTGTCTGTGAATGTGTGCCTCGGCATGTCACCGTGGAGTCCGCGTGGATCTTTGTCTGTGGCATACGCAGCTGTGTATTCTGGGCTCTCCTCCGTCTGTGGCACGCGTGGGTCTTTGTGGTGCTTTGCCGTTCCTGCGTGGCTGGGTGCCCCCGTGCTGAGGGCCAGCCTGCTGGGTGCCCAGTGCAGCCCCTCATCCCTGCGTCTTTGTGTGCGACGTGTCCGTGTCCCCGTCTGCCGATGGCTGTCCACCTTTGTATGTGATGTGCTTGTCTGTGAGGGTCTCTGCGACGCGTGTGTCAGCCGTGTGTGGGCTGCGTATGCCTGCCTGACATCTGCAGCTTGGCGTGGGGCACACGTGTCCACGCCGGTGACATGTCACAGTGCTGTCCCGGACGGGCACAGCGGGCCCTGCGCCCCCCACCCCAAGGGTCTGCTGGTCCCTGTCCGTCCCTCTCCCTCCCCTCCCTCCCTCCTGGCAGTCAATGCTACTGGGGAGCCAGTTGCCATGACGACACTCCATCCTCCCTCCATCCTCCCTCCTCCCACCCTTCCTCTGACAGGCTCTCCGCTCCCCCAATCCTGGCTGCCCTCGGGGGCGGGGCCCTTATTCTCCCCCCTCCCATCCTACCCTCTCCCCCCACCCCAGCAACCCCGGCTCCCCAGCTCCTCTCCTCTGTCCTCCTCTCCATCCCTTCATCTGCCTGTCCCTTCAGAGAGGGGGAGGGGGGTACCTGAGCCAGTAAGCAGCCCCTCCCTCCCCCTGTCCTGCGTCTCTTGCCCCGCTCCTAGGCGGGGGGAGGCCAGGGTCGCGCGGGTCCCCATGGCTGGGGGCTAAGGGCCCGCCCCCCCTCCTCCCCAGCCGCCGCCACCTCCACTTCCCTTCCATCACCGACAAGATGCCTGCCCCTGGAGCCTTCATCTTCCTCGCGGCCGTCTCCGCCTCCGGCTGCCTGGCGTCCCCGGCCCACCCCGGTGAGTCTGTCTGTCCGGCCATCCGGAGGCCCGGCGGCCCCCACCCCCACCCCGGCTGCCAGGGGGTCTGCCCGTGGGGCTCCGGCCCCATCACCTGTGTGCATGTCTTCCGGCCGCCGAGCCGGGGCCTGGGGAGCCGCGGAGACGGAGCCTCTCTCTGTCCGCAGGGCCTGTGGGAGGCAGGCCGGGGGCTGGGTGGGGAGGGGGTCCGTTTGGGCAACATGTGTCTGTACACGCATGTGTGTGTGTGCAGGTGTGTGCGGGGAGCCAGGGGAGGACGGGGCCTCGGGGAGAGCTGGGCCGGGGGGAGAAGACTGTCTCAGGCAGACCCAGCACAGGCAGCTGCTCTAGCTTTGGGGAGACCCGGGGCTGGCCGGGTTCCCTTCGCAGGGGCTTGGGCTGGGGACGGAGGGCATGTGCGCGCTCCAAGTGCCCCTAAAGGAGACATGCCTCACCCCTGCTAACTAGGGGGACCAGCATGGGGCAAGCGCCTTCTCCCAGACTGCAGCTGGGGGCTCATCCTCTTCCCCAAACAGGGGGTAATGAGGCTGTCCGGGGGAGCAGATTGTCCATCCTGGGTGTTCCAGGCTCCACTATTCCTTCTCCTTTCCTCGGTCCTCACTGGGATTCTTCCCAAGTCTGGGGTGATGTGATGGAGGGGGGGTGGTGGTGTCCCAGCTTGGAGGGAGAGGAGGGACCCCACCCCCAATCACCTGAGAAGGCTCCAAACTACAATCCCCACAATGCTCTGCACCATCCGGCTCCTTTGCCAAGAGGCCGCCGGTTGCAGTGCGTCATGGGAGTTGTAGTCAAGACTGGCCCGGATGGGAGGGGCACGGAGTCGGGGAACCAGGGGCTTGAAGTGGGGACGCCAGCCCAGCCCTGTGCGCCCACAGATGGATTCGCCCTGGGCCGGGCCCCTCTGGCTCCTCCGTACGCCGTGGTCCTCATTTCCTGCTCCGGTCTGCTGGCCTTCATCTTCCTCCTCCTCACCTGTCTGTGCTGCAAACGGGGCGATGTCGGCTTTAAGGTGAGGTGCACGTGGGGAGGAAGACTCCAGCAAGGCCTTTCCCCCCAACCAGGGGGTGGGTGAGGGAGAGTGGCGGTCAGTCCGGGAGCACCTTTGGTCCTGAGGTTAAGGCCAGATCCGGAGGCTTGGGATGGACATTGGACTGGGACTGAGGACAGTTATGAGAAAGATGGCCAGTCTCAGCCCTGTCTTCTCCCCTCCCCACCCCTCCCGGCTCCAGGAGTTTGAGAACCCCGAAGGGGAGGATTGCTCGGGGGAGTACACTCCCCCGGCCGAGGAGACCTCCTCCTCGCAGTCGCTGCCTGATGTCTACATCCTCCCGCTGGCCGAGGTCTCCCTGCCGATGCCTGCGCCGCAGCCTTCCCATTCAGGTACTGCCCCTGCCCCGAATAGGATCCCATGGTCTTTTTTTTTTTTAATATATTTTATTGATTTTTTACAGAGAGGAAGGGAGAGGGATAGAGAGTTAGAAACATTGATGAGAGAGAAACATCGATCAGCTGCCTCCTGCACAGCCCCTATTGGGGATGTGCCCGCAACCGAGGTATATGCCCTTGGCTGGAATCGAACCTGGGACCCTTCGGTCTGCAGGCCAACGCTCAATCCACTGAGCCACACCAGTCAGGGCCAGATCCCATGGTCTTGAGAGTCTTCTCCTGGAGGCCCCAGGCAGCCAAGGGGACAGGTGGAGGTGGGAGCCCCGGGATCTTGACCCTGGATGGGGTCAGAGATCATCTGGGTTGGAAGCAATTGCTTAATCCAAAACCAGACTTGGCGAAACCAGATTTGGGTTTTGGATTACGCAATCAGTGGTGGGGCAATCCGTGGTGAGGGCAGCCTCGATCGCCATCTCAGTGGCCGCCTGTGGCAGGCTGCAGTCCCGCACAGGCCCTGGGGATGCCGACGGGAAGGACAGGTTGGATGCTGGAACCTGTGGGCAACCAGTGAGGAGGCTGAGGTCCCCTCTTTGTTTTTGTTGGTTTTTTTAATATATTTTTATTGATTTCAGAGAGGAAAGGAGGGGGAGGGAGAGGGAGAGAGAGAGAGAGAAACATCAATGATGAGAGAGAATCATTGATCGACTGCCTCCTGCACATCCCCTACTGGGAATCGAGCCTGCAACCCACGCATGTGCCCTTGACCAGAATCGAACCTGGGACCCTTCAGTCCGCAGGCCGACGCTCTATCCACTGAGCCACACCAGCCAGGGCTGAGGTCCCATCATTGGAATGTTAGGGGCAGCCAATGAAGAGAGGGGTTGGTGCCTGCTGTAACCCCCAGTCTCCACGGAGTTGGGAGGTGTCATGGGCACTTGGGAGGGGAGAAAGTCTCAGGGGCCTCCCCCTTCTGCCCCCCTAGACATGACCACTCCCCTGGGCCTCAGCCGCCAGCACCTCAGCTACCTACAAGAGATTGGGAGTGGCTGGTTTGGGAAGGTGAGTGGGCTGGGGGGGTGGGAGGCAGGGGCTCCATACAGTCGGGGCTGTACTCCTGTGTTGTGTCCATCCCCCTGCTCCTACCACTTCTCATCTGCTCCCCGCCTGCTCCCTTGGCCCCCTCAGTTCACCCATCGTCCTCACCTCTGTCCACCTCTCACCCACTCCCACCCACCCCATCCCCCCACATCTGTCGGTCAGCGCCTCCCTCCTCACTCCATTGATCACTCCGCCTGGCCACCTGGCTCTCCACGCGTCCGTCTGTCCATCCTTCCATCCGTCCGTCCCTGCATCCATCGGACTCTGGGCTTGTGAGTGTCTGCCCCGGCGCGCCTGGTGGGGGACGAGGGTGGGATGTGAGGGGAGGGCCTGGAAAGGGGAGGAAGGTGGGAGCCTGCGGTGGGGGGAGGGGGCTGCAGGGGAGGGGGCGGGGGAAACCACACACTCTGACTCCGGGTCCCCTGGACCAGGTGATCCTGGGAGAGGTGTTCTCAGACTACACGCCAGCCCAGGTGGTGGTGAAGGAGTTGCGCGCCAGCGCGGGGCCGCTGGAGCAGCGCAAGTTCATCTCGGAAGCGCAGCCCTACAGGTATGCCGGGTGTGCGCCCCCTGGGGGTGACCTTTGGAAGTGGGCGGAGCATAGTGTGGGGTCAAACCAGGGTTCGAATCCTGGATCTACCCCTTCCAGGCTGTGCGGCTCAGTCAGGAGAGCTTCCCCCCCTCTGAGCCTCGGGTTCTGTGTCTCTCGGGACGGAGCCGGGGCTATGAGAGGCAGAATGGGGAGGGCAAAGGGAGGGCCCGGAAGCAGAGCTGCAGGCCTGCCCTGTCCACTCTGAACCTCAGCATCTTCCTCTGGAAAGTGAGCCCAGGAAGCCCGAGGGTTCTCATGTAGAGGGCAGCGGAGGGGGGCTGGGCAGGCGAGGGCGGGTACCCCGTGGTGAGCACTGGGGACATCTCAGGCCCCTGCCTCGTGGGTGAGGACGCGTGGAATCAGAATCACAGCCCAGGGCCCTGAGCTGGCATCCGAAGTGGCCACCGAGGGGCTCCGTCCCCTCTGCCCGCCCCCATGGACGAGGAGGTCTGAGCAGGCGGGATCCTGTCCCCTCCCTGCTGGTCTCCCCGCCGCCCTAAGGGATTCGAGACAAACACTCACTAGAATCACCTGTGCCGTAATAAGCTCCCTGTCACGGAAGGGCTGTGTATAGGGAGACCCCTCGTCAGACAGTTTAACCGTGGGGTTTACCCCGAAAGACCCGGGCCTCGGACGTTGTCACTCCCTCGCTCTAAAACTGCCGTGGCTCCCTATTGCCCACAGGACCAAGTCCCACTCCCCTGCACAGCCTGACCTGGTGCCCTTCCTGCCACTGTACCCCTCACCCCCGCCACCCTCCTCACTAACCCTCCCACCTGTCAGCCTGTTTCTGCCTCAGGACCCTGGCTGGCCCTGGCTGTTGCCCCTGGGATATCACTCCAGGCTCACACCCCCAGCTCAGACCCTGCCCTCCTAGGTCCCAGCTCAGACAGGCCTGTGTGCACATGTGCACATGTGCATGCATACACTCATGCATGCACGCACACATGCACACACACACGCACGCACACATGCACGCACACACACACACATCCAAGGCAGGCCCTGGGATCCCCCACACATCAGCTCATGTTTTCTTCATAACACATATCCAGTTTGTCCATTTTCTTTTTAAACATTTTTTTAAAATATGTTTTATTGATTTTTTACAGAGAGGAAGGGAGAGAGATAGAGAGTTAGAAACATTGATGAGAGAGAAACATCGATCAGCTGCCTCCTGCACACTCCCTACTGGAGATGTGCCTGCAACCCAGGTACATGCCCTTGTCCGGAATCGAACCTGGGACCCTTGAGTCTGCAGGCCGACGCTCTATCCACTGAGCCAAACCGGTCAGGGCCAGTTTGTCGATTTTCCTCTGCTTCGTTGCATATTTGCCCGTCTCTGCTGGCAACCGCTAGCCGTGTAGGACGATTCACATTGATGTCTGATCCACTCAAATTAAAAACTCACTTCCTCCGCTACACTCGCCACCTGCACGGGCCCAGTGGTCACACAGGGCCAGGGGCTGCCGCGGAGACAGCCCGGGGCTAGAGCGTGTTCACCTTCGCAGAACGCTCTGTTGGGGGGCGGGCAGGACTGCGCCGGCCGCTGGGGGCCCTCGGGAGGCTGAGCGAGCCAGCCCTGAGATCCCACCCCAGCTCAGCCGCCGCGCCCGCTGTGTGACCCTGGGCTAGTCGCTCTGCCTCTCTGGGCCTCCGTGTGCCCTGGCCCCCACGGGCACAGCGTCCTGCCGCGCAGGGGGGCGGGAGGATCTGATGGCAGGAGCGGCCGCCTGGGCTCCGATTGGCAGGTGTGCCGGGAGCCCAGCTTCCTTCTACGTCTGCCAGCCAGTCGCCGGCACGGGGCGGTGGGGGTGTGTGTGTGGGGGGGGTTCCGGCCGCTTTTTGGGCCCCAGCACAGACCCGGGTCCGTGGGAGAAGCAGGAGCGAGAGGCCCATTCTCCCAAGCAGAGCAGGTTGGAACACGGGCCGTGGATGGCCGGGCCCGGGGCCCTGGACCCCGCAGTGCATGAGCGGCCCCTGCCTCCCGCGGGCGCCAGAGGGCAAACGGCTAACCGGCTAACCGAGCACCTACTCGCGCCAGGCGCTGGGCTGCAGGCCTGGACCGGCTCATGTCCCCCAGGCCCCAGGCCGTGTGGCGAGGTCAGCCGTTCCTTCCACACGTGTTTATTGGACACCTACTGGTCTGAGGCACTAGGGGTGTGGCTCTATGTACAAAAAGCCCCAAGTCCTCGTCTCCGTGCAACTGGCTGCCTAGTGAAAGAAGGGGCACCCCCGGTGTTGGGGGTCAGTGCGGTTTCCTGGGCAAATGATGTTGCGGCTGAGGCCTGAGGGCTGAGGAGGACTCTGATAGGGAGGGTGTAGGACTGTCTGTGCCAAGGCTGGAGCCTAAGCAGGCATCTGTGTTTGCGGAGAGGAACATGGGGGGGGGGGGGGAGTGATGCTGGGGGAGGCAGTGCGGCCAGCCGGGGGGCCAGGTGGATCTAGGGAGCACGGAGAGCTGTGAGGTCAGGGACACACTGAAAGGGAGAGAGGGGAGGCTGGGAGGAGGCTGAGCAGAGAGGCCGGGGTGTGAGGAGGAGGCTGGAGCTGGGGCTGTGGGGAGAGGAGGGGGTGGAGACCAGGAGGCTGGGGTGAGGAGGAAGGTGGGAGCAGGAGACACTGGGGGCTGGCCCAGGAGCGGGGGGGACAGTGGGCGGTCCTGACAGCGAATGGGGAGGGTGTCTGTGTGGTGGGGGAGACCTGAGGTGAGGAAACTGGGATGGAAAAGGCTGAAGCCACAGTTTGGTTTTGCTGGGGGCTGGGCTGGGCCAGGGCCGGGCTGCTCTCTGACCCAGCCGCCCCCACCCCCCCACCACCACCAGGAGCCTGCAGCACCCCAACGTCCTGCAGTGTCTGGGCGTCTGCGTGGAGACCTTGCCTTTCCTGCTGATCATGGAGTTCTGTCAGCTGGTGAGGCTCTGCCGGGGGGCGGGGGGGGGGGGGCAGGGGAGCTGGACCGGGGGCTGGGGACGCCTAGGGTCCTAGGACTCCGGCCATAACATCGTCGTCATCACGGGACACTTGTGTGTGACAAGCGCTGGCAGCGGTCAGTCAGGTGGGCCCTCCGCCCGCAGGTGGTGCCACCGAGCCAGCAGCCAGGCCAGCAGCGAGGCTGCTCTGTTAGCTCTGTCATTACCCCCCTGCCGCTCGCTTGGAGGGGCTGCCACCGGGTGCAGGGGGGCCCCACCCTGGCGGGGATTGGCTGGAGGGGTGGCTGCCGGGAGGGGCGGTGCTGAGCCTCCTGCCCTTCCTCCCAGGGGGACCTGAAGCGCTACCTCCGGGCCCAGCGGCCCCCAGAGGGCCTGTCCCCTGAGCTGCCCCCGCGCGACCTGCGGACCCTGCAGCGGATGGGCCTGGAGATCGCCCGGGGGCTGGCGCACCTCCACTCCCACAACTACGTGCACAGGTGCCAGCGGGGCCTGGGGAGCAAGGGGGGTCTGCTTAGGGGAAGGCAGTGAAGCTGGGGGGCAAACACCAAGCAGGAAATCTGGAGGGTCCAGGGAGGGGAAGGGACAGGAGAGGAGAGGGAGGGATTAGGAGGGGGGCAGGGGTCACAGGAGGGGGGCAGGGGTCACAGGAGGGGAGCAGGGGTCACAGGAGGGGAGGGGACAGGAGAGGGGAGGAGTCCAGAGGAGATGGAGGGGGCTTGGGGCTGGAAGGAGGGCAGGGGGGCAGGGGGGGGGGAAGGGTGGAGTCCGGGAAGTGGGCAGGATCTGGGCTGGGGGTGAGCTGCCCAGGCTGCCCCTTCCTCACCGGGCCCCCTCCCTGTGCACCTGGCAGCGACCTGGCCCTGCGCAACTGCCTGCTGACCTCTGACCTCACCGTGCGCATCGGAGACTACGGGCTGGCCCACAGCAACTACAAGGTGGGGCTGCCTGCCCTGGTGGGGGTGAGGGCGGTGGGGCCGCCCTGACCTGACCCGCCCGCCTGACCCTGCCCGGCCCCCCAGGAGGACTACTACCTGACCCCTGAGCGCCTGTGGATCCCCCTGCGCTGGGCGGCCCCGGAGCTGCTGGGCGAGCTGCACGGGACCTTCATGGTGGTGGACCAGAGCCGGGAGAGCAACATCTGGTAGGGCCGGGGCGCCGGCGGCCGGGCAGGGCGGGCGGGCGGGAGGGCCACAGCCATCACCCGGTGCCACGGATGGGGAAACCGGGGCCCCAGGCCGGTCAGGGTGGGTCTCTGACCTCTCGCCGCCCTCTGCTCCCTGCAGGTCCCTGGGGGTGACGCTGTGGGAGCTGTTTGAGTTCGGGGCGCAACCCTACCGCCACCTGTCCGACGAGGAGGTCCTTGCCTTCGTGGTCCGCCAGCAGCACGTCAAGCTGGCCCGGCCCAGGCTCAAGCTGCCCTACGGGGACTACTGGTGAGGGCCGCCCCCGCCCCCCCCCCCCCCCCGGGACGGTGCCAGGACCCCGCCTCCTTCACACACCATCCGCAGCCTCAGCTGCTGCCGCCCCCAGAGCGGACGGGGTGCCCCCAGCCCTCCACCAGCACCTGCTGCAGGAGCCGGAGCGCCAGCGCTGGTGTCTGAGCCGGGGCTCCTCACCCCCAGAAGCCCCTGGCTGCTGGCCTTTCTCTGACCCCGAGCGCACGGCCAGACACGAAGGCCGCCCTAACCCTCTGCCCTCACAGGGCCTCGCTGTCCCCTTCCTCTCGGCCCCTGTCCTCTCCCCCTGGGTCTCTGCCCCCAGGGCTCGGCCCACGCCCGCCTCTCCTCTCCCCCAGGTACGACATCCTGCAGTCCTGCTGGCGGCCGCCGGCCCAGCGCCCCTCGGCCTCTGACCTGCAGCTGCAGCTCACCTACCTGCTCTCCGAGCGGCCCCCGCGGCCCCCGCCCCCCCCACCCCCGCCCCGGGACGGCCCCTTCCCCTGGCCCTGGCCCGCCACCCACAGCGCGCCCCGCCCGGGCACCCTCTCCTCGCCGTTCCCCCTCTTGGACGGCTTCCCCGGGGCCGACCCCGACGACGTGCTCACGGTCACCGAGAGCAGCCGCGGCCTCAACCTCGAGTGCCTGTGGGAGAAGGCGCGGCGGGGGGCCGGCCGGGGTGGGGGGGCCCCGGCCTGGCAGCCGGCGTCCGCGCCCCCGGCCCCCCACGCCAACCCCTCCAACCCCTTCTACGAGGCGCTGTCCACGCCCAGCGTGCTGCCCGTCATCAGCGCCCGCAGCCCCTCTGTGGGCAGCGAGTACTACATCCGCCTGGAGGAGCACGGCTCCCCGCCCGAGCCCCTCTTCCCCAACGACTGGGACCCCCTGGACGCCGGCGTGCCGGCCCCCCAGGCGCCCCAGGCCCCGTCCGAGGTGCCCCAGCTGGTCTCCGAGACCTGGGCCTCCCCCCTCTTCCCGGCGCCCCGGCCCTTCCCGGCCCCGTCCTCGGCCTCGGGCAGCTTCCTCCTGAGCGGCTGGGACCCCGAGGGCCGGGGTGCGGGGGAGACCCTGGCGGGGGACCCTGCCGAGGTGCTGGGGGAGCGGGGGGCCGCCTGGGCCGAGGAGGAGGAGGAGGAAGAGGAGGAGGAGGGCAGCTCCCCCGGCGGGGACAGCAGCAGCCTCGGGGGCGGCCTCAGCCGCCGCGGCCACCTGCCCTGCCCGCTGTGCAGCCGGGAGGGGGCCTGCTCCTGCTTGCCCCTGGAGCGGGGCGAGGCCGTGGCCGGCTGGGGGGGCCACCCTGCCCTGGGCTGTCCCCACCCCCCAGAGGACGACTCGTCCCTGAGGGCCGAGCGGGGCTCCCTGGCCGACCTGCCCATGGCCCCCCCCTCCTCGGCCCCCCCCGAGTTTCTGGACCCCCTCATGGGGGCCGCGGCGCCTCAGTACCCCGGGCGGGGGCCACCACCCGCTCCCCCCCCCCCGCCGCCACCTCCCCGGGCCCCCGCGGACCCCGCCGTGTCCCCAGACCCCCCTTCAGCCGTGGCCAGTCCCGGCTCAGGCCTGTCGTCTCCGGGCCCCAAGCCGGGGGACAGCGGCTACGAGACCGAGACCCCTTTTTCCCCCGAGGGAGCCTTCCCAGGTGGGGGGGCGGCCGAGGAGGAAGGGGTCCCTCGGCCACGGGCTCCCCCCGAGCCCCCCGACCCGGGAGCGCCCCGGCCGCCCCCAGACCCGGGTCCCCTCCCGCCGCCGGGGGCCCGGGAGAAGCCAACCTTCGTAGTTCAAGTGAGCACCGAGCAGCTGCTGATGTCCCTGCGGGAGGACGTGACGCGGAACCTCCTGGGGGAGAAGGCGACGGCCGCCCGGGGCGCGGGGCCCCGGAAAGCAGGGAGAGGCCCCGGGAGCCAGGAGAGAGCCCCGGGCCCGGGCGGGGACCCCACAGCCCCGGGCAGCGGGAGGAAAGCCTCCAGCCCGAACGAGGACCCGAGCCTCCCGGTGAACGGGGTGACAGTGTTGGAGAACGGGGGGCAGGCAGCCCCAGGCATCCAGGAGAAGGCGGCAGAGAATGGGGGCCCGGAGTTCCCAGAGAGAGAAGAGACAGTGCTGGAGAATGGGGAGCTGACGCCCCCAAGGAGGGAGGAGACGGTGCTGGAGAATGGGGAGCTGAGGTCCCCGGAGAGAGAAGAGACAGTGTTGGTGAATGGGGGGCCGACACCCCCAAAGATGGAGGAGACGGTGTCAGAGAATGGGGGCCCGAGACTCCCCAGGAACACCGAGAGGCTGCCAGAGACTGGGCCCTGGAGAGCCCCAGGGCCCTGGGAGAAGAAGCCCGAGAGTGGGGGGCCAGCCCCCACGATAGGGGGGCCAGCCCCCACGATAGGGGAGCCAGCCCCAGAGACGCTGCCGGCGAGAGCCCCCGCCCCCGGCACAGTGGCCTTGCCCCAGAACGGCGGGGAGACGGCCCCTGGCCCCCCTGGCCCAGCCCCCAGGAGCGTGGTGTTGGAACTGGGGACCAAGAGGAGAGCCCCCGAGACTGGGGGGGCATCGAGAGCCCCCGGGGCTGGGAGGCCGGACCTCGGGAGTGGGGGCCGAGCCCCAGCGGGCACGGGGACGGCCCCCGGCGGCGGCCCCGGAAGCGGCGCGGACGCAAAGGCAGGATGGGCAGACAGCACGAGGCCACAGCCGCCCCCACCGCTGCCCCCGGAGCCGAGGAGGCCGGAGCCAGCGCCCCAGAAGGCCAGGCCGGAGGCGGGCCCCGAGGGAGAGGCCGGGGCGCCAGACAGCAGGGCCGGAGGAGACCCGGCACCCAGCGGAGACGGGGAGCCCCCCAAGCCCGAGAGGAAGGGTCCCGAGATGCCACGGCTGTTCTTGGACTTGGGACCCCCTCAGGGGAACAGCGAGCAGATCAAAGGTGAGGAGGCCGCTGCGAGGTTGGGGGGGGGGCAGGGGGTGCAGGGGAGAGGCTGGGGCTCCTGGCAGCAGACGGGTCAGGCCGGCGGTGACAAGTGCAGACACTGGAGCTGGGCCACCTGGGCTCAGAGCCCGAGCTCTGTGGCCTTGGGCAAAGGACCTTACTTCTCTGTGCCTCGGTTTCCCCATCTGCCAAAAAATGGGTGGCAAGGATGGCACCTACCTGCTAGGGTTGTTGTATGAGTGACACCCTTAAACACCTGCTTTTATTATTGCGATTCACAGACCAGGAGGCTCGAATTCAGATGCCCAGGGCTGCCAGCCAGTATTGAGGCCTGAATGAGGTCAGGGGGGGAGGTGGGGGGGAGTTGGAAGTACAGCCACTTCGCTCTGTTCAGGAATGCCCACTGGGCGTTGCCAAATTTGCTGCTTTCCCCTTTTAAACCAGGGTTCTCGGTGTTTCAAAGGTTGAAATCAATTCAAAGGGAGCGTACCTGAGGGCTGGGCTGGGCTGTGGACACGTGATCTCTGCTGTCCACTCCGCAACAAGCTGAGGCCTCTATCCAGCCTGCCAGGCCCTGAGCTGCCCAAGGCTGGGCCGCAGGCGTCTCAGGCCCGGCCCTGCCTCCAGGGTATCGGTGACCTGAAAGCGGTAGACAGGCCTCTTTCTGGAAATTGCATTTGGAAAGGAACACAGGAAGTGTTGTGTCACAGAGGGGACGAGTTAGGAGAAGATAAATGAAGAGTAAAGATAAATTGAGTTAGAAAAGGAAGGCCCATCCAGGCGGAAGGAACAGCCTATGCAAAGGCTCAGAGGGGGGAAGTCAAGCCTCTATTGAGACATAGGCAAAGGGACTGTGGTTCCACTGGAATCACCCACAGGCCCGATTTCCTTAAATCCCGGTATGAAAGTTACGATGACCCGGCCCTGTTTTATTTTGACAAACTCACAGCCACACCTGAGTGAAGACGGCTTGCATCTGCGTCTACCAGAGGAGCCAGTGGCTCAGGAGGGAAAGGCTGGGAAGAGGTCTGGGCAGACATGTTCCTTCTTCAAACTCAGTTTATTTTTTAAAAAAATATTTTTATTGATTTCAGAGAGGAAGGGAGAGGGAGAGAGAGATAGAAACATCAATGATAAGGGAGAATCATTGATTGGCCGCCTCCGGCATGCCCCCCCGCTGGGGATGGAGCCCTCAACCTGGGCATGTGCCCTCGACCAGAATCGAACCCGGGACACTTCAGTCCGCAGGCTGATGCTCTATCCACTGAGCCAAACCAGCTAGGGCTCAAAGCACAGTTTATTGGAACACTGTCACTTCCTAGAGGTTGTTGTGGGGAGTTTGCAACCAACTGCACCAGGAAAGACCCAGGGCAGGTTAAACATGCCAGGAGATGAGCGGCTAAGATGCCTCTGAGACGGGGGTGGGGGGGGGGATGGGGGCAAGGGGTTGAGGGTTGATGTTGCTGGGTGAGAAGAGGCTAGAAATAGCCTGCATTTTAAAAAAATATATATATATATTATTGGTTTTTTACAGAGAGGAAGGAAGAGGGATAGAGAGTTAGAAACATCGATCAGCTGCCTCCTGCACACCCCCCCACCGGGGATGTGCCCACAACCAAGGTACATGCCCTTGACTGGAATTGAACCTGGGACCTTTCAGTCCGCAGGCGGACGCTCTATCCACTGAGCCAAACTGGTTGCTTTTTTTTTTTTTTTTTTAAACCAGTGAACTCCTACACATCCTTCAAGACCCCATTCAAATTTCACCTGCCCTGGGAAGTCTTCCTGACTTCTAAAGGCTGTTACCCTGTCCTTCCTCTGGATATCCATAGCTCTCTCGATATAGCACACGCCCCCCATCCTATCACCCTGAGATGGGTAGTCAGAGAAAGCCTCAATATGGAGGTGACTTTTGAGCCGACATGAAGAAAATGAGTCAGGTAGGCATCAGGTGTAGGGCACTGCGATGGGCCCTAAGTTGGCAAGATAAGGGAGTAACAGCCAAAGGCCAGGGACGCAGGAGTAGAGTGAATGAGGGAGGAGGTGACCCGGGCCACATCCATCTTCTTTCTGCCCCCGCTCACCTTCCTCTGATCCCCACCATCGCCCCCCACAGGGCCTGGCACACAGTTCACTTAGGCACGAATGAATGAGCAGCCCCTGCCATTTACCAGTGAGGAAACAGCGGCTCAGAGAGGTGGATCTGCTTGCCCAAGGGCACACAGCCAGTGGGCAGGTTTGGGATTCGAAGACAGGTTCCCTTCTCCCGGCACCTGGAGCCCTTCACTCCCAGCAGGATGAGATCTGGGAGCCTCGGGGCGGGAAAGGGCCTAGCGATGGTTAGATAGGCCCATTTTGTCTGGTGATTGGGGGCCAGAGAGGGAAAGTACCCTTGTAGACATCACATAGCGGGGATTAATGTTTCCATCAGCCCCACAAACATTGGCTGAGTACGTCTGTGTGCTTGGGGCTTGGGGATGCAGCCGGAACGAGCGGGACTCGGTCTCTGTTCTGTGGAAAGGCCAACACTAATCGCGTCACCTGCTTTTGAAAAATACAGTTATATACTGAGGTGATTGATCTCTCGAAGGAGAGGTGCTTGATGCTGGGGCGTGCAGAGCTGGGGGTCTGGCCCGAGGACCGCCTGGGGCGGGGGGGGGCCGCTCTGAAGGCTCTGGCTGCCCCGATCTAGCTGGAGGATGACCAGGACTTGAGTTAAAAAAGGACGTTCCCGACAGAAGCAGCAGCTCAGGCACAGGCTCAGAGGTGGGAGGAAGAGGGAGGTGGCCCTGCTGGATGGAAGTCAAGCCAGAATGAGGTGGGGACGGGGCTTGCAGAGGTCGGCAGGGCCCGGTGGGTCGGGGGTGGGGTGGGGGGGGGGGGGAGGTGGCACGGGGGTCGGGGGGGCAGGCCTCTCGCCCTGCGTGGAGGAGGACCCCCGTGCAGCCCGGGGCTCACCAGGAGGGAAACTGAGGCCCCGACTGTGGTCCGAGATGACCTGAGGACACAGCCAGGCGGAGGCATGTCTCGGTTCCCCAGGATGGGGGCTCACCCGGTCTCTCCTCTCGCAGCCAAGCTCTCCCGGCTCTCGCTGGCGCTGCCGCCGCTCACGCTTACGCCGTTCCCGGGGCCGGGCCCGCGGCGGCCCCCGTGGCAGGACGCGGACGGCGGGGCGGCTGGCGGGGAGGCCGGCGGGGCGGGGGCGCCGGGGCCGGCGGAGGAGGACGGGGAGGACGAGGACGAGGAGGAGGAGGAGGACGAGGCGGCGGGCGCGGCGGCGGGCCCGCGGGGCCCCGGGAGGTCCCGGGCAGCCCCGGTGCCGGTCGTGGTGAGCAACTCCGACGGGGACGCGGCCCGCCCGTTGCGGGGGCTGCTCAAGTCGCCGCGCGGGGCCGACGAGTCCGAGGACAGCGAGCTGGAGAGGAAGCGCAAGATGGTCTCCTTCCACGGGGACGTGACCGTCTACCTCTTCGACCAGGTGCGCGGCCGGGGCGGGGCACGGGAGCGGGGGCGGGGCCTGCAGGGTAGGGGCGGGGCACAGGAGCGGGGGCGGGGCCTTCAGGGTAGGGGCGGGGCGCAGGAGCGGGGGCGGGGCCTGCAGGGTAGGGGCGGGGCACAGGTGCGGGGGGCGGGGGATTGGGGCGAGATTGGAGGATGAGATGAAGCGTTGAGTGTGAAGGCGGAGCCTGGGAATGGGCGGGGCCAGCAGGATGGGCGGGGCCAGCAGGATGGGCCGGGCCCGGAGCGTGGGTGGGTCCTGGAGAGAGGGGGAGAGGATCTGGAAAGGACACAGGTTTCCCACTTTAAATTCATCCCTTTGCAAACTGACTTTGCTTTGCAAAAGGGTGACTTTGAAGTGGAATACCTGCATCTGGGAGAGACCAGGGAGAAAATGTTGAGAGGGGCGCGGGGGCCTGGGCTATGGGGGCGGAGCCTCGTGCGTTTGGGGCGGGGCTTGCGCACCAGCCCCGGGGTGGAGGCTAAGGGGCTGGCTCGGGATGGGTCTTACCCGCGGGGGGCGAGTCCTGGAGAGGCTGCGGGTAGGACGGTTTAGAGTGGGTTCAGGGGTGGGCTGAGCTAATGAGCGGGGTCGGGCCTAGAGAAAGGTGGGGGTTGTGTCCCTAGAGGCGGGTAGTGTTGTGGAGACACCGGGAGGGCGTGACGGTGCCTGTGCACTGGGGCCCGACCTAACTGAGCCGGAGGCGGGGCGAGCCGGGCTGAGGCCCTGAGCGGAGGGGCCCGAAACAAAAGGATGGGGCTTGGCGGGCGGGGCCCAAGGGGAGATGGGGTGGGGGTTTGGAGGACCACAGCCACAGGTAGTCCTGGGGCCCGAATTGGGACTTTGCAGCCGAGATCTCAGAGGTAGGTAGGTAGGGGCCCTGCAGACGGGCAGGGTGCACGGAGATAGCAGGGGTTCGGGGGGCCCCTGGAGGCAGCGCGTGGAGCCAGGAGGATATTCCTGCGGGTGGCTGTCTGGGTGAGTGGGCGGGGCTCCGCCGTCGGGGGCGCGGCCTCGGGAGG